AAAAAACCCGTCACTCCCAAATCCAGGTACGGAAAAAACCCGTCACTCCACAGTCCTGACACTAGGTCCCCAAGAAGGTTAGCCCACAAGCCTTGCAAAACGATATGTTGCATTCATGTTTTGCCGGCCTGACTTTTTGCTTCCAGGATTGTTTGAAACGACCTTTGAACTTTAAACAGTTCGGAGCTGGGAGCCCACCGCGTGCAGGCAGCCAGTGCATTACTGGTGGCCAGCTTCGTGCTGGCAGCCAGTTTTGCTCTGGGGTGCCTGCTGTGTGTGCGCAGCCAGTCCCAAACTGTTTAAAGTTTAAAGTTTGACTTTTTGTTTGGGCTCTGTGCGGGGTTGGAAACAATCCTGATTCAACAAGTGGCCTTTGCGTGGCTCAAACACAGGGATACAACATGTGGTGAAGATGGGCGAAACAAATTCACCAACAAGCCCCGCGTTTACAGAAATCGCCAACGAACGCCGCAGCCGATCGAGATCACCACCAGCAAGAATGGCGCACAGTGGGATGATGAAAGGTGAATCTCAAGAAATTGATGAGCCTCAGGATGCACCAACCATCCTGCAGCCTGGCAGTATTCTATCTCCAACGGACTGGGAGGAACCTACCATAGATCCACGCGAGCGTGCCAAGGAAGAGGCTCTTGTTTCGGACCCGACACAGGTTCAGACAGAAGAGCCTACAATGGATGCAAAAGAAGAGCAGGAGGAGGTGTGCAAGACCGAGGAGGGCGAACCAACAGCTGTTGCTACAGACTCAGATGGAGAGAGCGTCGCTACAAAGAAGAAAAATGATCTGTGGACAACTACTGCTGTTCCATTTGCCGGACTGGTTCCACACTTGCCGCCACCATCTCACTCTCCAAATGACTTTCTCCCACCGCCGCTACCAAAAGACGAGCCCACGGAGAATGAGAATGCGGCCGCAGACTATTGGACCGGCGGTCTTCCTGAACTACCTCAAGAACACGTGAAAGACACAGATTTGCCTGTGCCTAGGGTGGAAGACTTTCGACATGATTCAAAACATTTATTTGTTAGTTATATTTTATTTTGCTGAATGTGCTGTGGTTCCCCGAAGATGGTTTTCATTGTTGTTGATGCGTGTCCCAAGGATTCGATCAGGTCCAGGGGTGCTCGCTCAGAACCTACAGAACAGGAATTGCACGAGGCCTGGGAGAAGTTCCGCCGAGTGAGGTCACAGAAAAATACACGTGAGAGAGAAAGGAAACTTCGGAGGAAGAATGAAGCCAAGGCTGCCGCTGCCACTGCAGCGGCAAAGGCTTCAAATGATACTTCTAAGGCTGTGGCTGAGGTTCCAAGCAAGCCTATGGCTGCTGGATCTATGGATGCTGCAAGCAAATCTGCTGCGGCTGCTGCTAAGGGTGCTGCTGTTCCAAGCAACCCTTGACTGTTGGATGTGCGCAGGAAAAAAATCTCCAGGGCAATCTGCCACATGAATTTGGAGTTTGATGAGTGGTTTGATCTGTCATTTGACATCATTGACATGCACTATTAATCATTTGGCCAGTCAATTGATTTGTCGCGCGATCTTTTTCTTGATGTGCCATGTGTGATTTCGCTTTATATTTGTCATTTGATCAGCTGTGTGTCATTTGCAATGAGTCATGTTTGTTTGTTAACTGCTTTCATCACTTGAACATGCGCCAAGGACCTTGGATTCTGACCTGGACAGCCAGTGCAAGGCTGCAATTTCAGACATGGACTGGACGAGGATTCCTTTTGTGCTGGAGGCCACCCTGATTATGTGTTTTGTGCTGGCAAGCTGTTTGTTGGATGTAGCCTGATGAACAACTATAAGCTAGCTCTTGAGCCGGAAGGCACAAGGAAAATCCAAAGAGGACTATGTGCAGGAAGCGCAGTCGAGATCAAACAACGCTTACAAAGCCAGCTTGGTGGCTGCTTTCAACTACTTCAAGACACAGCTGGAATCGGACCAAGCCCTGTGGGAGGCTATGCAACTGAGGTGAGGGGGTTATGTCCTTTGATTTTTAGCTGTTAGTTGTTTTGCCGCGCCTGATTGACCCTTCCAGATCCAACAAAGAACACAGCAAGAAGCGCGTGGAGATGCTGAGGAAACTGGAAACAATGAAACTTGGCTGTCAAGTTGTGAGTCAATGTAATCTGTCACTGCATCAATGTGACAATGAATGAACTCAATTGTGATATTGACATATTGTGATGAAATTTAAGACCAAAAACAGCACAATAAACTTGAAATATGATCCGAACAGGCATGACAAGAGCTGGGAGGTTGTGCATGAGTACGCCGAGCGATTTCGTGTCTGGTCAATCAAAACAGAACACAGCATCACCCCCACCCTGCTACCATGGCTGGACGAGATGATGGAAAAGGTTACCTACAACCGGGTCCAATCAGAAGAGTGCTCCATCCTGTACATCTGCTTGCCAGTGCTGGGGGTCGTTCCGGCGATGAAGTTGCAGTTCATACTACAAACCATTACATCGTTTTTGGCAGCCCGGGCGTCCAACTCAATCGCGCTTGTTGTGCATGCAAACCGCGCTGGCGAGGCCAAGAAGAGGTTCGTGCCTTAGAATTGTCGTGGTCAAAGTAGCTGCCAGCGCCTGGCTCTCAGCAGCTGGCAGCCCACCGCTGGTTCCCAGCAGTCGGCTGCCAGTAGCTGGCTGCCAGTAGCTGGCTGCCGTTTGACAACAATTATATGTGCTAGTTGTGTTCATGCAGTTGCTAGTTTCTGTCTTGTTTAGGCTTGATCAAATTGTGTAGGGGCTCAGGTGTGTATCCTTCTTTTCGGTATTGAATGCAACAATGCAACATAAATTGACTGAACGCACGAACACTCACTCACTAAAACCCGAGTCCTACTTTGTTGAGTGGGCAGGGCTAGGTGATCCGTGAGAAACATGGTAATAAAGTAAAGGTTCAACACTTGGCATTTTTATGCTCCTTTCAAATCCATTGCGCTTTAATCAGCCCATCTTTAAGCCACAGCTTGACTTCGCTCTTGATTTCACTGCCACAGGTTTCTTTGATTGGTTCTCAAGTGTGTTGTTGACCAGTTGTTAGAATCTTTTGGTGGTAACTCTTTATCACTCATAAAGCAAGTCATAAATAAGAAGTTCTTGCCTGCTGACCTGGCTTCAGGCTGCGTTGGAGACTTCCATCAACTTTTATTCATATGTATACATACAGTATATACACCTTCAGACTTCAGAACGTCAAACAACATGTGAACGGTGTACGGCGGTTCCTCTGGATGCGTGCAAATGGCTACTTATTAAACATCAAATTGACTCCAACTTTCCCCAGATTGCTTTCCCCATTTGCAACGCCAACATGACCATCCTTGATTTAGTCTAATGTGGTCAAAGTAAACGCCCAAAGTTTGCCCTCTTAGTCTTGCCCTTAGATTGTGCGCAGGGCTTGCCCACAATTTCAGTGATCCCCAACAAACTCCCGTTCCCCAGCTTCCCACGAATCCGTGTTGGGCCAAAACCAATCAGCTGGAGATCATACCGCGCTGTGCAAGACAAACACTTAACATCACTTAACATATAGTCAAACAAGTTTCCAATTTCCGCAATCATGTCACATTTTATCAGGAGTGCTTCATGTAGAACAAATTTAACTATTAAATATTGTCATTTGTATTATACCGCTAATCATCCCTTGATCATTAGTTTGCAAAGAATATAAAGGATGAAACACAGTGACGCTGATCTTGAATTCCCACTGTACACCTCATTGCCCAATCAGCGGTTGTCAGCACTTTTCAGATGTCAGTTTGTTCAACTCTTTTCATGGCCTACACCAATTCCCACCAAGTGCACCTCCCCGTATGATCCAAATGATTGAAATGATGGAAATGCAAAACATAAGGCTGAAACAAGCCAGGCCTACTAGCCAGGAAATGACAGAGTAAAAACTACAAACAATTGACTGAAAGACACATGGTGGTCAACTTTGCGTATTCACAAGCCAAGTGATAGATCAGCCAACATAGAACGGATTTCATTTGGCAGCTATTAGCATATGGCACACTTCATGTGTTCAGAGTTGTTGGCAACTGGTCTAGATTCCAGAGACCAATTCAGGAAGGACACAAAAATGGAACCAGATGGCACCAAAGATGAGATCATGGAGGACGCTGCTGAGGATGATGATGAAGGCCGTCCAGCGGATGAGATTGAAAGTGACACGGAAAATGATGGTGGCGATGTGCTACCTGAATTTCAACACAAATTCGAACAAAGTTTGCGTCAGCCTTCACGGAACCTTGTCGTTCGCGACCTGGTCCTGTGCTTCCAGCCAGAAAGCGTTTACGGCAGAAGGTCAGCATTTCTCAAGGCTTTGATGGTAACAGTACCTCAGCATACATTGGAAATAGAAAATACAATTCGCACGATTTGCATTCATTTGACATTGACGTATTTTGAGGCAAAGGGCCCGCTTGGCAGCAACATCTTTTGGAAGTCTCCTGCCTGGAAAAGAGGATTGGTCACTGATGTCCGGATGTGCGCTAGGAGCGAGATGTGGCGCCCTTCTACCCGTTTGAGCATGGATGCCGCTTTCACTGACGTTCAGGAGCAAAAGCAAGTTCCTTATATTCAATTAGCACCGTATCATCAAATCAATATAACAAACAGCATTTAGTCAATTCATCAATTCAATGTCTCTGTGCGCACGATGATGTCCGACAAAAAATATATCTGAGGTGGCCGCTGGGAAAGATTTGATTCACAAGATGTTAAACTCTCTGCTGCCGCAGCAAGTGACCCGAGTGTGCTTCGTTGATGTGGTGGGATATGACGCGTGGCCGGCTTTGGCATGCATGGAGGTTACTTTGTTCAAAAAGCATTCAATCCTTCCCATGTGAGAACTGAGTGAATTGCTGCTAGCAAACTGAATGGTTTGTCAGGTGAATGACCGGCAAATTTTGTGTGCCACCATCCTGCCTGGAGACAATGACGGATCGAAGGCCCACGTGATGAATGACCGCATCGTGTCCAGCTGCTACCATGGGGCTCGCAACGGTGAGATTCAGGTTGAGGGGTTCCCCGACTTTGATCCGTTGCTTCAGGAAATGAAGGCTCAAACTCAAGAGGTAACACAGGCCTCAGGGGACTACAAAGTCACTGCGTGCTTGCCAAGTGGGGCGCTCGTTGTGAAGCCTGGCTTCTTCGAGCAGTTCAAGGGTCAAGCTGGCTTTCAAGAGCTGGTTGACAATCATGACTCAAGGTACAACAAGGACAAGATCTCCTTGGTCGAGCAAACGTCCTCTGTTGCAGACAAGAAATTGACAGAGATGGTCCGCAAGTCTGAGGATGGACCAATTCCACCCGAGCGGATTGCAACGTTGCCCAGTCCGTCAGAACCTTACTTGTGACATGCTGAATAATGTGGTTCTTCTTCTTGCTGTGATTCCTTTGGCTCTCCAGTGTCAGGGATACTTTGCAGATCAACAGCCAGATATCACTGATCATTGACACAGATCATGAAGCTGCCTTCTTCAAGGCCGACACTTCGGAGGAGGCAATACTTCCGGATCGAAGAGAATTGTTCTCTTTTGGTGGGGGAAGTTGGTTTGATGGGGCTGATGCCAAAGAGATTTTGGATACCCGACGTGGGAAGTACTTGCGCTGTGCCCTCACTGTGACGAGCCTTGTCATTTTGGAGTCAAAGCGGTTGCCTGCGCATCTGGCGTCATTGAACTGCATTGAAAAGCCCGTGGAGCTTCAAAGCTTGTTGCGGTCCCTTGAAGATGCTGGCGAGGCTTGTTGCTCATGAAGTGCCAGTGATTCCTCATTGTGATGTAGTCTGGTTGTTCCTTCATTTGTCAACATGTTTATCTTCATAACAAAATACGCAGGTCAAATGTGGCTTCTCGCACCACACCATCGATTTGGCAACCAGTGCGTGTGAAGCTGACAAGCCACTGGTCTTTGTGCTTGATGCAAAACCTGAGGACCTTGACCCCGACCGCCCAGCCAAGAAACCCAAGAAAACCAAGGGTCAGAACAAGAAGGCCAGGCTCATGACAAGCAAAGCCAAAACAGTCAAACTATGTCAAGCCAACAGTTTTTTCATTTTGGAGGGAGATGGCAATGAAAAACAATCAAGCCATCTCATTATCTTCTATTCAGGCGTCAGCTGTGAGTTTTGGCAGCAAATTCAATCTGGAGAAGCTTGTCAACTGCTCTGCTTTGGCAGTAGGGTGGCGGGTGAGGCGCCCCACTATTGTTTTTGCACTGCGTGATGTTTTGGCTGTAAAATGTTACAATAAGTCGGTTCTCTTCGGGCTTTCATGGCAGGCTTGAGACCTGTGGCGGGGGATCGACGAAATTGATTCCTCAAAGACCCGTTTGCATACTTGTTGGGCAGTTGGTTTTGCAAGGCAATGAAATTGCCCAGATTATGTAGGATCCTTTCGGCATGCCACTCTCAGGCTTTTGGCCGACCATGAACAGAGTGACATAGTGTGTGGAGGGGGGAAGCTTTTGGAGATGAAATGAGTAATTACTAGTCTTAGATATGATAAGTATTGTGATGATGAATGTTTTACATGCTGCTTTTTTACACATTGAATCTTATTGAACCAGAAAAAGACTGCAACTTAGCACCAGCCAAAGCCACCGGCCTCCATCACATTGCACGTCAATGTGCGCAAACTACACTGTGACCAGCCAGTTGAAAACAGATTTGGCAAAAGGCATCTTTGTTTTCTCCAAATTTACAGTGCTCCAGTGATCCGATTTTGCGCGTGCTGCAGATCTGATTGTACGTTTGATTCAGTTTGTTGGCCCAGGGGTGACACGAGGCCTCATTTTGTTTAAAGATGTCAGAGTCAGATGGTGATGACCTAGCGATTGTTGGCATGTCGGGCAGCGCAAGACCAGCAATGCACGCAGCGCCAGTCGTGCACTCAGTTTGGCTTACGGGTAGGCAAACGGACCGAACTTATATAGTGTAGTAGTTTTCATGTGTGGCCCAGGCTTTCAGCTTGGATGCTCTCTACTCTTCCTGGACATCGGCTCCACCTGTGACACCACCGAGGGCAAAACATGAAACGTGTCAGTCTACCAAGGGTGCTGCCAGCACTGCGGAGAAGAAGGAGGGATCAAGTTTGAACAAGGAAGAAGTTACCGCCAACTCCGATGTGAAGAAGTCAGAAAAAAAGATGGAAGGCGAGGTGCATTTTTGGTAAGCAATCAATAAGTAAGTTTGAAGGTGTCTTTTTTGGAAGGCTTGCCACCGAATTTCACCGGAGCTGACTCATCTGAGTCTGACCAGAAAGCCAAGAAGAATAAGAAGTTAGACGAGAAACCCAAGACGGAAAAGAAAGACAATAAGAGGCTGGCCGCAGCCAAAACAAAACCTGAAAAAAAGAAGAAAAAAGACGAGAAAGAAGGCAGTCCAGAACAGCCAAGTAAGGAAGGCGGTGATGACGAAGACCATGCGGATGATGATGGGAAGGAGGAAACCACTAAAAAGAAACCTTCCACAAGTGAGGGTGGCCGTGGCCGTGCAACCAAATCAGAAGGCTGGGTCCAATTTAGTCATGCAATGCAAATCGTTATTATTTGCTTAACTCGTGCCAGGGAAAAAGCAGGAAGAAAAGAAAAAGCCGGGGCCAAAGCGAGGCAGAAAACATGACCAGGACTCGAACCATATTGAATATACAAGTCAAAAACATCTTATAAACTATTTAAATGTGGGAAATTAGCGCCAGGAAGCAGCGAAGGGTATGGTCGCAGCAGTGGGTGGCGAAGGTCAAAGCCCTCATGCGTTGGGGAGTGAAGCAAAGGACAACAAACTTCTTGGCAATGACCATCACTCGGATTCGGATGCTACCACTTTGGTACTTGGACAGGAGGCTAGGTATCTTTCGCCGCAAAGTTGAGTTCTGTCCATTTCACGCGGCCTTTGGACCCAAAATTTTTTTGTGCCGGTTTGCACCTGGGCAGGAAAAAGGACATGACCAAAAGCATGAGGACCTTGGGGCGCAACGTGTTAGGTTCTTGTCTCACATTGTGTATGCCTGACACTGGTCAGGAACAGGTTGAGACGGGCGCGTTGGAGAACACGACGAATGGCCAAGCTGCACCAAAGACGCGGCCGCAAGCAAAACCAAAAGCAAAGATGGCAGCCATGAAGAAACCAGCCAAGACATGCAAGAAGACAAAGGCACAAGGTGACATCAAGGTTCGCGAGGCGGATTGTTTTGTTTCGTGAGGTTTGCTGCCAGTGAACTTTGCTACCAATAGGCTTGTGTTTGGCCGCCAGTGCGCACTAAAGTGCAAACTGGTAGCCAAGGCATGCCCAATGGTTGCAATGACACTGGCGTGCAAACCAATCTTGTCAAACTATGAATGGTTTAATGAGTTAAATCAAGTTGAAGTCGACATGAAACAAGGCTCACAATACACTGTGAAGGACATGGGGGTTGATGAACTCCGGAAAATTTTGCACCGAGCGATCAACTCAGTCTAAGATTTGTATAGTATATAATTCGTCAAACGTGATTTCCTGCCGAGGCCTACAGTCAGGGGTGGCACTCGGCCAACTTAAAGTTTCCGACTAAGCCAAACAAATGGCGGATTAGTGGGGCCGCCGCTCGCAAGAGTAAACTTGATGAGCTGAAGGGCCTGAATGTGGAAGTGGCAATGACATACACGTTACCATCATGAGATGTGGACCCAACCGTGCGCTGTGGACCGTGGGAAGAAAATGATGATAATGGGAAAATGATGTTGTGGATGGGTTGCAGTGATATGACCTAGCCAAGTGATATGACCTAGTGTGTTGTGACTGGTCTTGCCTGCCAGGTCTTTGCACGCTGAGATGGAAATTCGGAATAAACCCAGCGACATGCAAACCACAGCTAGAAAAAAAAGGCGTGTAACACTCACTGTATTT